CGAAGGCCCGCTGAAGTGGCTGAAGACTGGTTCGGTCCAATTGATGCTGGGCCGAAGGTTTCCTGCACAACTAAAACACGTAAACTGGCCTCGGGGGTGGATCTGAGGAAGACCCCTCCGATGCCAAAGTCAAACGGTGTTTAGAGAGAGAAAGTTATGCAAGAGATTTAGTGCTTGAGGCTTTTGTGTCTTAATGTACAAATGAATTAATTGAAGGCTTTTATACCTTTGCACATGATGAGAGGAGAGTAATTGGGCCCTTAAATAGTCATGGGCTGACCATGGCAATTCGGACCAAAGGACTCTTGGTTGACTTGGCTTGATTGGAGGCTCGGGCCTTGACCTTGGAATATTGAGTCATTTAGTGATCAGGCCCAATAAGATAATTGGACCCAAATAAATGACTAGGCCCAATTAGATAAATTGGACCCAAATAGGATGATATGATATTAATCACTTTGTTTGATTTTGCGTATTACTTAATTGGTGTTGGTATAAATTAATAACTTGACGTTTTTGTGCACATACTGGTTTCACGTGTATAATTAGCCGTTTTCGAAATAAAAGTATGTTACTTGATCGAATGGAGTTGGAATAAGTGTAATGTATGTACTTTCATGCTTTATTGTTTAATTGAGCAAGTATCATTATCTAATGCGAATATTTTAATGTATTAGGACGGATAAGTGACATTTAATCAGCAACTTTTGTTGGCATGTGTGTTTGTTTGTTGTACTATCTATTAGTGTTTGTGGCCTTTCTCTTCTTATGGTGGCCTTATAACAACTCACTTTTACACTTATTATTAATAAAGGAGATCAGTCAAGATTGACTAAAGTAGTTCAAGAGATTGCATTGTAGTTAGAGAAGCTCAAATGTTTTAATTGGCTTTTTTATGACAAATTTGTGGATTGCATAAGTAGCTCACTTATTTTATTGAGTTTTATGAAGATATTAAAACTTGCTATAAAAATTATGAGCGACTCTTTTATCTTTGCCGGCCTTATTTAAATTATTAATATATGGTCAAATAACAAGGGAGCTCTGTTCTCCTGCTCGCGTTTACAAGGGTTCCCACTCACTCTATTGAGTTACACCCCTTATTGGGTTATGCAAGGAAGCATCTCGATAGGTCTAGGATACCCAAATGAATGCAACTAGTTCAGTTGGTTAAAGCCATAAGATGCAATACTCAAGATCAGACTTAGCTTTAGGATGGAAGCTAATTTAGAATCTTTTCATGTGTAATAAATATTGTAAAATTAAATGAGAAAGCTTATAATTTTTCCTTTAGGGTTTATCATTCTATATTACTCCCTTTTTTCACAAGGATTTTAGTTAATTTGACAGTGAAACTGCCAAAAATATTTATTTTTGCAACTTAAGAAAATACTAAAGTTTAGTAAATAAAAATAGGGATTTTATCACTGGTACCCTCAAAGATTTGACTTTTATCAATGGTGCACCTCATTAAGTTTTCATTATCAGCGGTGCCCTTAATATTTTCATCCAATTGCTACAGTGATCATATGTTATTAAAACGTTAATTAAATGTTAACTGGGGTTTTTTTTTGGATGGTTTAATGGGTTAGGAAAGTGTAAATACTCAAATGCCCCTACCCTAAAAACTCCCTCCAAAAATCAGTTCTCCTTTCCCCCCCCCTTTTTTCGATTTTTCCCTCTTTCCTCTGTCTCCTATTTATTCTCTCTGCTGCTTTAGAATTCCCCTCTTCTCTTCTCTTCATTCCTCTTATAATCTATACATTTCAATGTCTTCTTCTGGTCAGAAATTATGGTCCAGTCTTTCCTATTTGATTGCTTGACAATGTTGTACAAATTCCAAAGAAAGTATGACCAAAAGATTTTATACAAAATAATTCTCAAAATCAAGATCGAAATTGAGTAATAACCTTAATCCGCAATTTGTCAAAGCGATTCTCCACAAATCTTGCTTCAATTAGGGCTTTCTAGCGAACTTAAGAACAGGGGAGAGAGTATGGAAGTTGGACGATCAAATTTTTTTGCCTTTTTTTGTGATAAATGATGTTAGTTGGGCTTGGAGGGAGAGTGAATGACTGGGGGGCATTATCGTAAACTCACTTGCTGACATATTCCACACAAAATACCCACACTTAATGTTTACTAAACATTTTAATCAAATATGATCACTGTAGCAATTAGGTGAAAATATTAGGGGCACCGCTGATAATGAAAACTTAATGAGGTGCACCATTGATAAAAGTCAAATCTTTAAGGGTACCAGTGATAAAATCCCTAAATAATTTCAATTTAACAAAAATAAGTTAAGTTTAGTAAAAATAAGTTATATTCAGCAAAAAATAGATTTATAGTTTAATAAAACAAAACTTTAATCAATAAAAATCAGTAATTTAAAAGAAAAAAATATACAAGAGAAACAGTAATTAATTATAAAAATTAATTTAAGTTCAAAAATAATTAAATTTAACAAAAATAATTTTAATTTAGCAAAAATAAGATCCTATAAATTGAGAGTCGGTCTGATTTCCATCCCAAAACCTAGCCTAGCTAATTCAATCTTCAATCCACAGTCTTTTATAAAGTATCCCATCATCTTATATAATCTTCCAAAACCCTAACTACAAAAATTCAACATGTTAACAATGACCTTGTTAACAACCTCAAATTCTCAGCAACCTGGAGAAGAGCAAGATTCGAAAGAAAGCGATCGAATAACCCAATTACCGGACCCAATTCTTGTCCATATTTTTTCTCATCTTCCCACCTACGATGCCGTGTATCGAGCCGGGTTGGTCTCGAAAGGTTGGTCATCTTTTTGGACCTCTCTTCCTTCCCTTGTTTTCCGTCAATCGGATTTAAACCGATCATGGAACTATACTCATCACAAGTTTATTTTTTATGTCCATCGTATCTTCAACTATCACAATCCCTACAATTTCGAGAGCTGTCGCTTTGATTTTAATTATAAGGGCTTATTTCTTAACTTTCAGTATATTGAGCAGAAATTGAATTCTTGGATACGTTTAGCACTTCATCGTAAAGTAAAGAAGCTTGAATTACTGTTAGGTATAAACTCCTCGTATTATTTACCTCGTTTCTTGTTTCGAAACGAGGTTTTAACCAGCTTGACTTTACAGGGTGTTAGCTTTCACCAATCTATTGGTGAGATTAATTGGAAGTTATTGACGAGCTTGTCCATAGAACAAATTCGTGATCAACTCACAGATGATTGGATGCAAAAAATATTTTTAGGTTGTCCTTTATTAGAGTACTTGAAATTGTCTGATTGTGATGGATTCAAAAGATTGGATATAGTTTCTACAACTTTGAGGCAATTGGTGCTTCATAATTGCAAGTTTGGGAGTAGTAAATGTGGTGACATGTTATGTGTTTCGGCCCCTTTTCTTCAAGTATTGACTATTACTGGGTTTATGTACTATCAGAGGTGCTACTTGGGAGAGTCTATTCTTAAATTTGAAAATTTTTATAATAATGATTATATAAATCGCTTTAAAAGGTTAGAAAAGAATAATACTAGTGATGACAAAGAAGACGAGGGTGATAGTAATAATGACATCATCAAATACTACGAACATGCACAATTTGTCAATTTACAACATTGATTACATGTGAGAATTGTCTTTAATTTATTTTTAGGACAAATAAACTTTTAAAATTACTTGAAAGCTAGAATAGGTCTGAATTTAATTAATTCAATTAAATGACAATCATATAATTTTTATAAGGAAGTCTTTATTTGATTCATATATATATATATATATATATATATATATATATATATATATATATATATATATATATATATATTATGTAGTTTTTGAATTTGATATTTTATTTATGTTATACGAAGTATGACTTATTATAATGAGTTACGATATTATTAGCCAAATGCTTGTAGCATTTTAATGAAATATAACCTACTACACGTATATATTATATTTTAAAAAATTGATTATATGTATTAGAACTATATATATCATGTGAAGCAAGTTAATATACTACTATTAAGAACCTCATTCATGAGAGTGAGGAATAGCTCAAGTGGTTAGAGCTTCCCTCTCGGTTTCAGGAGGTCCTGGGATCGATTCTCATCCCCGCCCTTGTGCCTCTCTAAGCACCAAAAAAAAAAAAACCTCATTCATGGTTTATTTACATTATTGTAGGTGAAGTGCAAAGGCGTCGATTATGATTATGATGAAAAGAAGAACTATTGGGAGTTATATCCCAATTATAGAAGCTGCAATTGTTTATTAAGACACCTTAAGATGGTGAAAATTGTTGGTTTAGTTAGTAACAAAGGTAGCAAAAGAGTGATTGAATTTTTACACTTCATCTTAAAATATGCAAAGGTGTTGGAAACACTATCCATTCACGTTGATTCGGAGCTCAACGACGAGAATGTTTTTATTCAACTATCTTTGTTTTACATGTTGACAAGCTTCCCCAAGTCTTCGCATGATGCTGTCATTCAAGTCATCTCTGGTGACACTATTTTAAAGACTACTTAGATTTAGAAACTGCTATTTGGCTCACTTAAAGAATAATGGATTTTTTGTTTTAGGGACTTTTTTTTTTTAAATGATTGCAAATATATACTCGTATTTTTTTTTTTCTTAATCACATTTCAACTCTCGTGGTTTTTTAGTTCAGCATTTGCATTTTTTTTGTTCAGTATTTATAGGTCAGATACTTAGTAGTAGAAGGGAGAGTTAAGGAAATACCTACCCTTAAGCACCCTCGTCACTTGGTATGACTCGAAGTCTAAACCATTAAGATCTAAGGTAAGCTCCCTAATAAGTGATCTAACACCTTGTTGACACTTTGTTATTGCATACAATTTTGCTTAGAGCAACTTGATATATCATCAATACTAAAACAAACACCACGAATGACACATGTCAATTGGTGTAAAATTTTCTTTAGTAAGTTTTTTTTTTTTTTTTTTTTTATCACACCTTTCTACCTCGAAACCCTTCTTATCACATCCTGTCCCTGCAATTCTCCTAACAGGGAGAAAAAGGAGCCAATAAGATGTTGCTAACACAAAACTAAGTGTTAATGGCACGGAAACAATCGGGTGAATCGATGACCACCCTAGGGTTCGTACCCAAAACCTCTTGACTAACAACTCAATAGCCATAAAAATTCCTTGTAGAACAAAGAACTTGGTCACCTCCCAAGTGGGTTTCATCCCACAAGTCATGTGGTAGAACATTATCTGGTGCATTATCCCGGATACTACTAGGGTGATAACCAATGCTACTACTTGTCCTGGACCAACCCCAAAGTAAACATCTAGTAATTTACGCGCTGGATTGTATATTGTGTGCCTTAGAATATCGGAAGAAACTCGATTCCACCTTCTACCCCAGAAATTTTGAAGTGATGTAGCTCTATTGGGCTGCTTCAAAATAGGTATTGGCTCTACATGTGGCAACATTTGGTGGACGACAATGATAAGTGATAGGAGTAATATCATCCCATCACGTAAAGAAAGGGCGAAAATTGATATTGACATCGCTAGTGCTATTATTTGCAATACATTTCCCGAGAACAAATAGTTGTTGTCAGAAAATAAGGTTGTGTACATCTGATCCTTTTCATCAGTACCCTTTTTAACAAAACACGGAATACTGATGGCTTCATTCCTAACTTTAAAAGGAAAAACGGCAACAACCACAAAGTTTACATAACTATCAAAAAGGATAAGATCACCCTTACCAAACGAGAAGAGGAGGAGTTTGAAAGAAGAGATCCAAGACAAGAAGAAAGACGCGATCCCTCGAAGGGAGATAGATGAAGGGAAGTACCAAGGGGCAACAAAAAGAACGTAGAATACACCAACAAGTGAAATTAGCCTTGGTACGCCCTTAGGCAACTTTGTGACAAAGAAATAACAATAACCATATGACATCAATAGTAGTAAGAGTAGAGAGATTGGTGATGATGAATCTGAGTAAGAGGGATTAGCTCCTTCACTTAACATAATTACAAACACTAATTTTGCGATTTATGAATAATATTAGAAATTACAAAATGTATCTAGTAGCTAATTTATGTTGCAACTTAAGTTTGTAGTGAGGAGACTTATGATCCTGACTCTATATGCTTTAAGAAGGGAAGCTTATATAAGGTCTAAATAACACGGTCAAGAATTAATTGCATCACATTGACTTTATGTTCTCCAACATACAGTACAACTTTATTTAAATTTATCTATTACGTAGTAGTACTTCGTAATCAAAACATTTTCTCCTCTGCTATTCACTCCGTTCAATCTATCTATCTATATATTATACTAAAAGACAAGCGTCTCAATGTGAGGATGACAAATGTCACTCTCTCATTGGCTTATCTTATGTATAAAATAAATCTATATAATTACTGTTTACATATTTAAGCATAGTTATTTTTGTTAAACTTCAAACAATAAAAGCAAGTTTCTATACATGCATAAAATTTTCATGATTTCCTAACATAAATATCGATTTAATTTTTTATAATAAATATATACTTTCTAATACTACAAATAATCCATAAAATCTTTCCAATCTTTATTTATAGTTAAGTTAAAGAATAATAACTAATTTGAAGCAATATGATTAAAGTGGCATAATTAAGGAAACAAATATTTCGTATTTTGAAAGGCTAATATTGTTTTTTTTTTTATGAAAATTAAATAAAATCGATAATATTTAGTTTGACGTCAATTATGAAATCAATACAAACATTTAAAAAAAAAATCAGATGTACAATAAAATATTGTGCACCTATTATAAAAGCTATCCTGTAATGAATGAAAGTTATTTATGCTTTATTGATAAAAGTTACCCAAAATATCAGATGTACAATAAAATATTGTGCACCTATTATAAAAGCTACCCTGTAATGAATGAAAGTTATTTATGATTTATTGATAAAAGTTACCCAAAATAATGTAAAAGTTTTTGATACAAAAGTTTTTAGTGTAAAAATTACTTTTATCGTTTGTTGTACTCCTTGACAAATACTGAATGGTGAGCCGAAATGTTGTCTTGGAAAAAAATACATAATCTTGAACATAAATTTAATTTTAATCGGTCTTTCATTTTCTATACAATGTCTTTTACAATGACCTTTTGTTTTTCTTGCATAAAAAAAATAATAAAAAACTGAACCAATAACCAATCTACACAAGAGGAATAAAAGTTAAATTGAATTAGACATTTGACGGAAAAGGGATAGATATAAAATATATTATAACTATTACTCATGTTTTAAATTGTAATATTCGTATTAACAATGCAATTACTTATAATTTTTTTTTAGAAAAACTAACATTTTGATTTAAAAATCGTGCATTGCTCATGTACTATACTGGATATACAACAATCATGTGCAATAATTTATGTTGTTTTATACATAATAATACTTTTAACTATAATAATATGTGTATATAATATAATATTTCTATAATATAAAAAAGTATACGTATATAATATAATATTTTATAACATGTGTCCTCCATACCAAGTGTAGTCCCAATCACCACTACACCAATTGGTTGTTGGTGTAGTGGTGATTGAGACTACACTTGGTAGGGAGGACTAGTGTGCTCCCCTGCAACAACAATCGGAAGGGGAGTGGAACCTAATAACCTAGAACTGATCCTCAAATCTAGATTAGCCCAAAGGGTGAACCGGATAGAACACCCAAAACTCAATGCATATATGACGGGAATTAACTTATCCTTTATTTATCTTATACAAAACTCCAAAGTCTATTTTTTTTTTCAAAATATGATAATAACATTTGTAAATTTTTGTTAATATGAAAGATATAAACCTATCAAAATGTATATATAGTTAAATTGTTTAATAACTTATATCGAATGCGTAGTTTTATTAAAATTATTTGCATGTAATCATTAAATGTGTTGGATGTCGTGTAGCTATGCAATGTCCAAAACTTTAGTTGAGCGACTTTGATTTAGTGATTGTACGGTAAAAAGATATTGACTTCGATCTTGAAACCTAATAGTCTAATAAATTCTAAATAGAAAAATTAAAACAAAAGGAAATGAAAATAGTAAATGGCTTTAAATATTGAAATAAACATAACCTTTTAAATCAATTTAGCGAATTCAAGAGACAATTTTAAGGCATTTAAATTAAATGGGGGAAAATATATGTAAAAAGAACATTTTTAGATATATAAATGTTCATGCACTATTATAAGAGTTTTGTTAACCTTTTTATAATTAAGGTAGGGATAAATCTTAGTAATATATACTCCGTATATTTTATTTATATAAAATTATTAGTATCCATACCTATATACGAAGTATTTGTGTCGTATACTATATTTAATCAGCTGTTGTTATATATATGACTATTATATAATATATAGTTTTTGGCACAATGCTTAACTTAGGAAAATATATGTTCTGGTAAGTCAAATATAAGGTTATTATTGTGTCTATAGATTTAATGAATGCGACGGGTAAATAAAACATGTATATATTAGATTGATTGTAGCTACTGATGCGGATGGTATGATAAGAAAATTTTAGTTTTTTTTCTCAACGGGAGATATAAATAAATTAGTCCACTTCTTATATAGCTATGTGGAGTATTATTCAATTATTTTTCAATTAATAAAATAACATTATAAAAAATTAAAAGAAATTCAAATAACATAAAATACTATTCAAATAACGTTCCTTTTTTTTTTATTGACCATTAGTACAAGTCCTTTAATAGTAAATGAATTACCTTTGTTTTTATTTTTATTTTTCCTACTGGTTTAATAATTTGATTAAATTTATAATCCATGCATCGCACGGACACTATGCTAGTTATTTTCTAAAACGGAATTTTCAAATCAGTTGCATCACTTTTAATCATAATTTTTCTCTATTTCTTTCCTATCACATAACCTCTTTCTTTTTTTTTCTATTCCAAAAATTGTCTACAACTTAAAAAAAAAAAACAGTGCAAAAATCAAATTTGCACCAATAAACAACAGTGTAAAAGTCAAATTAACGCATATGTTTATTTAAACTTCTTTTGTACGGAGCAATGTGCACCACTGTACCTCTAATGAAGTTGCTAACCTATAGGCTGTAGCCCAATGGCCAATACTGGCTAGAATTTGATGAGGATTTGACTAGTGTGAGGAGTCTAAGGACTTTATTGAATTGAAAACTTAAATTCAATGTTTGTATTTTTAGATGAAATCTTAATAGACTATAACATGTGTATCAATAAATGAGAAAATGACTCTTTCTAGGCCAACAATACTGCTAGGAGTAGTTAATTTGACATTATTTTAATTACACGTGGTGCTAAAATTCTACAAATACGACCAAGATAACACTTCGATGCAACTTTGTAATATTGGGAACTTAATTCATAGCAATAATTGGGTTTTATCAATAAATAAATTTACTAATTAATTATCAAACTTATGATAAAATTGAAGATTACTCCATATAATATTGATCAACAAGTTTTCTCTCTTTGTACAGTAAAAAAAATATAGATACGTAGTATATTTGTATAATGAAATATGTGATCCTCTTACACATAAAGACCTTGTGCGGTTTCCTACCTTACACTTGCTCAGACACCCCCCCCCCCCCCCCGCGTCCCCTCCCCTCCCCTCCCCTCCCCTATTTGAATTTTGGACTTGGATCATGATTAAAAACACGAATGTTGTAACTCTTATAAATTTGAGTGAAGTTTGATCTTAGACAATCAATTGATGACGAAGGTTTAAATAAAATGAGTATAGATACAAGTATAAAGTTTGATATATATATGCACAAATTTAACGATTTTCAAATAAAAATAACTTTTTGAGCGTAAAATACTAATAGTTAACCTAACCTGCATTGAAATAATTTATGACCCAAGATTGGGTCAGAGGCATCCACACGAAGTGAAACATCAAATCATTTATGAATTTAAAAAAGGCAAAAAGCAACGTATATCCTGGCCGGGAGGCATTGGATAAGAAGATAGTTAAAAGTAATTTGAAATGAACATTTATTACAAGACTCGTAATTTTTACATGCATTCTTGTATTAATATCATTTTGAAAAATATTTTAAATGGTGTTTAAAAAAAATGAAAAAAAATTGATTATCTAACAACTAGGAGCGTTTGTTAGCAATATTTTTTAAAACGATCTTGCTAACGAGCGCCCCGGGGCGTTAGATTAGGATAAATTATATTGGTTGAAATGGTATTAAGTTGGGAATTCATGACAAAATCACGTGTCGTTCGGTGTAATTAATGTTAATTTTACTCTAATATTTGCATTTTAATTCTCTTATCTAACGCCCCGGGGGCGCTCATTAGCTTTTACCTTTTTCTTGTAAACTTGTAAATAACAAGGTTTAATCTTTAAAAGATTTAAAGAGGTCCGTTTAGAATGCATTTACTTCATGCAACAAATTGCACAGTAGTACACTCTACCACAGCCACAAGCTTTGTTGCTGTAAACTGATAAAGTGATAATGGATCACACATACCAATATATTGGAGGTTGAGAGTTGGCCTGGTATTAAATCTTGCAATCAATGAATTCTAACATAAATTTCATCTAAATTGTTTGATGATTAAATAATTATTAAAGTTAAAAGAGTGTTTTGTCATACAATTAGAAAAAATACATAGCACAAAACAACCAATAACAAATGCCGTGGAAGACAGGATATATCATATTCATATATGGTGATTTAGATTTGCACAATTTTGTCTTAATCAATTAAGAATTGAGAATTTTAGACTGTAATGAATGAGAAATCTAATTAACAATTTGCCAACATTTTTTCACACCATTAAACCTTTTAAGTGATCGTTGTGTTGGAACATAATAAAGTTAAATTTTCTAAAACATTTGGAAGTGGTTTTTTTCCCGCCAAAGTTTAGTAAAAGTAGTACTTATTTTACTTAGTTTACTACCATTAGAACTTGTTTTATAGTTTAGGAATTGTTCACTTCAGCTTAATTTCAGTTCACTCCAGCTCCTAATTTTCTTCTCTTATAAAATATTCAGTTTAGCTCAGTTCAGTTCAGTTCAGCTCCAATCAGTTCAGTTTAACTCAATTCAATAAATGTGAACATGCCCTTAATCTAAGACCAGCCATTTAACTTCCAAATTCCAAAACTACTAGTGAATGGACGAAATGATAGACAATTACATGCATTCACTATTTTGTTTTTAACAATTTAACATAACTTTCCGAGGAGGAAATACAAACAGTACAATTCATAAGATCAGTCACGATTTTGTTTTCAACATAACTTTCGGAGGAGGAAATACAAGTTGATATATTTGATATCCTTGTTCGAATGAACATCATCAAGGGGTATTATCTATTATGGACTTTTGTACATTAATTATCGGATACACTATCAAAATATGATAATACTCTGTATTATATATTGCCTTAAATATCGTTATTAGTTTCATAAATTAAGGGAACATCAAGCTTTTATAACACATTTTAATATATCCAAATTAAAGTGTAATTAATTACCATATACTTAGTTTAATAATCTAGGCAAACATCAAATTTAACATGTAATTTATGATCTGCAAAGCCCATTACTGTCAAATAGCTGCCATATCTGCATAGAAATAAGCAACCCCTGTATCTATGTTACAGATGGTAGTCAAGCAATGCATAAATGCCCACTACAGCTGCAGCATCCAAGCTCTATAATAAGCTCTTTCAATTCCTAGAGTGAAACAAACAAAGTTTGCTCAAGCAATACGGCAATCTTTTAGAGAAGTTAGTTAGAGTTTTCCATTATTTGCTAATAAGAGTCGTAAGTGAAGGAGTAAATGGAAGGTAAGACGAAGCTGAAGTTCGAATCTTTTGTGTTAGTTGCGCTTTTGATTTCATGGTTAGCAATACTACCAGCATCAGCATGCTCAAATGACAGTTCTGATTGCAAAGACTGCATTCTGAGAAGGATGAAATATGACTGCCCGTCGTGTACAACAGCACTACGCTGTATGGCAAAATGCCTGTGGGCAGGAACGTCGAAGACTAAGTGCATAAAGCGGTGTGATTGCAACGATAAGTACCCGAAATTATCTGACTGCAAGAAGTGCATGTCTAAGTGCAGGTGCAGCTGTGCTATGTAGATCAACGATTTGCCTTTTTTTTCTTTTCTTTTTTTTAGTTTCGCTTTTCATGATAATCGTCTCATCATCTTGATGTTGTGTGTCAAGTTTAGTTGTCTTTACTTGAGATGAAATACTTACTTTTCTAATTTGGCTATTTCACTTCCATGAATCTTGATTGAAACCCCCAAATGTTGAGTGATTTCTTGACAGCAATTCTTTACACTGGTTTAACACCGAGATTTTCTTGTTGAACCTGCAAAGACAGAATCAATATAGGTCATAAGAAATGCTAATTTGATATTTGAGTTTAATCTGAATTTTACTTGATTAGTATGATGAATATGATATAATCAGATGAAACTCTATCAAATTCCATTTCCAACCCTCAGGTCCATCTTCAGTCCCATATGAGATCATAAGATCAGAATCAGATGTTTTCTTGAATTTGCACAATTTTAATGCAATTATGTGTCGAATTATCCAATAAGTGAGGTTAATTGAACAGTCCGAAAAAATCAGATCAAACCGCAGTAATGCAGAAATAGACTGCAGCTTGACAACAATGAAAAGTAAATCCATGTAAATAAACAAAAATAATCTCCCATTCAAAACAAAGGATGGTGATTACTTTCATATCGTAAACATTGCTTCACATAAACCATGTTCAAACTCAAACTCAAACTCATCACTGCTTTTCTGAGTAACGGAAGCACGAATCACTGCCATCATTGTAAATCACTTCAGATTGAAAGTTCATTTACCATCAATACATTACAAAATTTTATTCTCTTTCCCAAGACAAGCACACGCGGACAATATAAGCTCTGACACAGTCACACAACTAAGCCTCCAACATTTACAGGTATGCTTAAAACCATACTCTATACTATACACAATTCAAAGAGATAAACATAAGTAGGGAAAGGGAAGAAAAAAAATGGCTATAACATGTTTTTCTGCCTTCTTCGATTCTCTCCTTGATATTTATGCAGCCAATAATTTAATAGAATTCATCAAAATTGGCATCTTCAAACTAAAGGCCTCTAAGACCAGCCATTATACTCTGCATATTTAGTTTCTGGCTTCATATTACCAAGACTAGGGTATTGGTGATAGACACTGTTACGTATCCAACCTGTTCAAGTGTCAGCAGAATCAGTATTATACGGAAAAACTTCCATATTTTTAGTCATAGTGAAATCTCAGGTGTACATACCCAAGTCAGCATGTTTAGAATGCTACACGGGTACATGAGGAGTTGAAGTTTCAATTCATGCCAGTCCATTAAGGCACAAGACCGGAGCAAGTATCTTCTCCATTAAGTTCTCCAGCAGATTTCCTTTTCCACATGATACTCTTTAGCCTGCATGATTGTTCTACAATCAGTTTATAGGTAGAAGGGTGATTCCATGCTACAACAGAAAATCTGTCTCCGAATTCCTCCATTCCTTCAACCAACAACTGCCATATCAAGGACCCAGCTCCTGCTTGACCCTTCTTGGCCGACTCAAAAATTTTATCATAGACAGTTCTCATCAAGTTATCACCATAATGACCATTTTCGCCTTTCACATATATTGGGTAGCCAACTTCAGTAAACAGAACAGGTTTCTTCAGGATATTCTCACTGTCACTGATATGAGAATCCAACCAGTGTGAAAGGAAATCCAGTTTTGCAGTAACATTTGCGTGTGGCATCCTATATTTTAACATGTAGAGTAAGGAATGAGAAGAAAAAAAAATTGAAGATTCAAGCAGTCAATTTTATCAAAGATCCGATTCACTAACCAGCTATCAGGGTATGCATGAACTGAAGCAAAGTCGATACCATCAATAGCTGAATTCTGTATGAAATCAGTTCCAAGCGAGGTAGCCCATTCTCCAGGATTTATTTTTGATTTTTCAACAGGTTTGGGTCCATAGAAACCTTCAAGACCAATGGTAACAAGATGCTTTTGGTCCAAACTCTTGGTATATGCTACCATCTCGGTAATCCAAGCCTATTGATGGATGTAAATTGTAAAAACAGGATGCATAAGTAAATGATGAAAAATTAAATAACTTGAATAAGATAAATCTTTTGTGCCAATCATTCATTTCAATGAAAACGGAAGGTTTAACTGCCAGAAATACCAAGAAAAAGTAGTACAGAATCAGGAGTGGCTCAGTTTGGCAAGTCACTGCTTCACTTAGATATGAGATCGAAGATCAGGTTACAATTCTCACTAAATGTAGCTATAGCTTGCCACACTATGCCACCCCAACAGAGAAAGCCTGATCTTTCTTAGGTTACCACCCCTCCTCCCCCCCCCCCCCCAAACACACACACACACACACACAAGATAGGAACCTTACCTGAAGAATGGAAGAACAAGAGTCAAAATCACATCGCGGCTCATTTATAAGTTCCCATGCAAATATGGCTGGTTCTTCAGAATATCTAACTCCACTTAAGGAGTTCTTTCTCGTTACAATGGCCTATAGCATTCAGAAACCAAGACGAGATAAATAGGTTGTGATAGCTATAGCTGAATTGACGATGAATCACTGAGCAACATAATTATGCTTAAGATATATGTTAAACCAATAATCCATGTGCATAAAGTGTAAACACCAACACCTGATTCATAATCCCCTCACAGTCATAATCCCCTCACAGCAATATTATCAGCACATTGGCAACAAGGTTGGTGATGTACATGTTCAAGCCTACTCTACTTCTACCACTATTACAGACTTGCAGTTATGCTGGTTAGTGGTTAAGATATCAACACACCAAAGCGCAATTGCAAGTTCAGTAACACATATAATAATCTGATCATTTAATTCTATAAAATTGTTCACGCCAGCAAATAAAAGATAGAAGGGCTCTTCTCCTACAAGAATATAATATAGTCAAGTACCTTGATATAAGCTTTATAATAGTCTTTAATTGTTGAATCTGCAAAGAAGGAATCAGCTGAGGATGAGATATTTACTACTCCAGCTTCTTGTGCCCATTTCACATACTGTGCTTTACCACCAAATGCATTGAGATTGTTTACTAGACTAAGAATCAATCTTACACCATTCTTCCTCGCTTCCACTATCACATAATCCAATCCCTGTTGCATAAAAAACCCAATACCATAGCATATTAATAACCAGATAGATATGAGTTAGGCAGAAAATCCACATATTTTTCTCTAAAGTGCATTGTATCATTTTCAAGTTGTTCATTCAATCAATCTACTTCCGGTCAGTGACATGGAACCTAATATACTCATAGCTAGATTAGCTACGCCGCCTATGCGTTTAGTAGCATTCCCCATTACTTCTGATACAGCACATAGCTTGATAGCATGAGCCTAACTGCTAAAGAACAAGCTCACCAATCATAAAAAACACATCTTGAGAGAGATTAGACGAACTCATACAATTTGATTTGAAAATATTAACTATGGTTAGAACTTCCTCTATAGGTCCAAAAGATAATTTAAGAAACTTTTTGACCATATTTTAAGTAACAAGCCAAATAACCTAAAAGTCTCCAAATTTACAAGTGAATATCTTATTTCTCTACATAATTCACCAAATTTTAAGTTACCATACTATAGTACTAAAACTACATTACTCGGGATGCCATCTAGCTTAGTTGATTAAGTCTCGAAATTTGATTCCACACTCTATCACAGTGTGGAATCAAATTCTGTCTATATCATTGCCCTTTAAGACTATCTATACACAAAAACAAATGCTACATTACTACAAAGTACAAAGAGCTCAATTAAACAGATAAAACAGGACAATTCACAAAAACAGAAGAGAGAAATCAAATAAGATACCTTGAGCACTCTTTCATTGAAAACCCCAGGAGAAATCTGCAAGGAATTCGGGCCGGGCCCATCACTGAAAGCCCAAGTACGGCAAACATTCAACCCCATTTGAGCACCTTTCTTAAGCATTCTAGAAACCTTTGATCTTGAAGGGTCCCACACACTTGCCTCCATCAACCAATAAGAATTCCACCCATTAACAAACACCCTTTGATCAATTTGATTATGGCTGTAGATTATGATGAAATTGGTGGAATTAACCCCAACAAAACCCATGTTTTTTTGCCAAAAAACAGTGGGAAATTCGAAAGTGAGCTGATTACTGAAATTGAGGAAGAGAAGTATAGCAATTGTAGCTATTCCTAGAATTGGGTAAGCGTATTTTTCTCTGAATTCGGAGTTGTTCTTCATTTTGTTTTTGGTAAAGAATGGAATTTGGGAAAGTGAAAGAGGTTTTTTGAGCAGTGGAAGTGAGGGTAACAAACACTTATTTTGTCGGTAGGCAACCGTCAGAGTTGGTGCAAGGAATAATTTTTTATGTTACTATTTCCTCAGTTTTTTTTAAAGTTGTATCTCGACATGCGATCCTATTAAATCGGGATCTTTTACTAATAAGATTGTAAAATATGATAATAACATCCTATAACATCCTGTTCTTTTTGCTAGCCAACATAATGGTATTAAGATCTTGACAAATTTTCTTTTAAGGTGAAAATAGGGTTAAAGGGGGTATTGGGAAAAATAAAGGCAAAATCACAAAAAAGAAAGCATGTTATGAGCCAAGAATGATGCAAATTAAAGTAATTGTGGGAAGGAAGGGTGGTTGGTGTTGGTGATGGACAGTGTATTTTAATTCAGAAAATATATTTCGTGATATTTTTTATGTGGAGGAAAAATAGATACTTATACGGTTATTGGTAGATTTTTAAGGTTTCATATGACACCCCTAAGGCCCTAACATTTACTTCAATTTTGAAAAAAATCCTGAAATTGCCCTAAAAACGTGGATTATAACCCTTAGTTTGGACCATATTTAACTCTTTGTCAAAAACGGAAATAATGCAAGGTGCTTTACATCACCCCACGAGACCTTAGGAGGTCATTTGGTGGTTTTACTCGTCCACTTTGCCTTTATATCATCAACATTAATGACCCATAAATACATTCTATAATATTACTTGACTCTTTGACACCCCTTAATATTCAAAAATTGTTTAGTTTTGTGTATTTATTTATATGCATTATGATTCATTTCGTATGATGCAAAATTAAGCATCGAGTTGCTTTCCCGGCAAAATTTTAAAAAATAATCAGTACACCGAAATTAAAGTTTCACCAGGATGTTGCTGCCCAGGATCGAACTGGAGACCTTCAGTGTGTAAGACTGACGTGATAACCACTACACCACAGCAACCTTGTCTGATAAAGTTCAGTGTTTAAAATTTTATATTGTTTTATTTATTTACAATACGAGATAACTTGCCTCATTTTCTGGCATCTGTAAACAATATTTGACTTGAACTTCAAAATAATACAATTTCTACTTTTTACAAGTACCTATCTTGTACAGCAACTTTTTTTGTTACAAATGTAGAATAAAAGTTCATTACAAAGTTTGGTCGATCAAAATTCAGAATTAAAACATTCATACAAAGCATCCTTAGCTATACCATTCAGTATACTAGCCATTCATCTTAGCTTCTCAAGAACTATAAGCAAGATTATACTAATTAGTACAGTATATTGCTGTCAAATGCTGCTCTAGACTCTTAGCAAGGATCCACATTAACTGTTGTTATCGCGATTTCATGGAACGAGCAATATGACCAAAATATTTCTCCTAATCAAGGAGATGCATATTGAATTGTTGTCGTCTTCAATTTTGCAGGCTGACAAGATTCATTAAGAATTAGAGAGTGAGTAGATACTACGAGTAGATAGGATAAGGGAACCACGGAATACATAACAGGTTATTATTGTTGTAATTTTTTAATAGTCGCGCAAAAACCTCTCTAAACATCGGAACCCCAAGTTATGAGCACAAAACCTTTCCAACTCCTCTCCACCTCTTTCTCTAATAACCCTCTCCTCAATTCCACCAAACCCCTCATCCCAATCCCTCCACAAATCCCAACCGTCCATTGCTCTGTGATCACCACAAATCCCATCCATCACCTCTTGCAACCCCACGATCCGACGGCTGACACGCTTCCTCAGCTCCCTTACACTTTGGTTAATCCCAGGAACAGAATCTAACTTCAACAGCTGAACCATCAAAGCCTCATTAATCCTCAGCTTCTCCTTTTCACTGCTCCTAACTGCATCCACAGTTTCCTGCCGTTGGATCACCCTCTCCAGCCTATCAACCTCAGCTTCAACGGCTTTGATCTTCTTCAGCAGGGCTCGGACCACGTAGGAACGGTAGGCTGCCTGTATCTTAGAAGCAGCAGCTGAGTGATCATGGAAATGGACGGTGATGGGGATGGGCGGCGAGGCGGGTGGCTTGATCGGAATTTCAGTGGATTTAGGGAGGGTAGAGTTGTCATTTCGGAAGGTGTAGGTGACAGTTGATGTTGAAGATGGTGAGAAACGAGCTTTACTGTTGGGGTTCATAGCCACCGACTGTGAGCTGAGAAAAGTAGAGAGAGAATGATGATAACAGAAAAGGTGGGCTGAAAATGATGTAGAAGACTAGAAAACTAGATAAAAAGGAAGAAGCTAAATTATGGAACACGTAACAATCAAGCTTTTTGACCTTGTATGTTGTAGATGATAATTTATACATGTGCCTGGTCATAATGGAGTAATGTTTGGTCCTACAAACATGTATTACTATATGTCTATAACCATCACCCCCATATGTGTTACAAAGGTCTACTCGAGATTGATGATGGTCGTATATTAGATGGTTACGGACTGTGGAATGCATAGAATTTGGTACCTCGAGTAGTAATTTAATCGCAGCCTTGGCAGGCGCATTCCATATACCAGGGTCTTTAGGGGAGCTTTAAGCCTTCTAACCCACCTGCTACTATATGAAGCATACTCCTCAGTCCTCACTATAACGGTAGGGATTTGAGGAAATACTAGACAAGCAAATAGGTCAATTCAAATTAGGAATTGAAGCACACAGAATGAATAATTGATATTACTAAATACAAATACACATATGTATAAGAGTACATACAGATTGTGACATGCTAATAGCCTGATTACTGATAGAAAGAATGTTGATCAGTTGTAAACACAGTGCTGAAATTCTGAACAAAAAGGACATTTTTATTTTCGGTAATATAGTCACTAGTACTAAATAGTAAATACAGCATGATTCGTTAGATAGATGGCAAAATCTTCCCAGAGCATGTTCCAAATCCAACGTTGTAACCATTCCCCTGCATAGAAACCTCCAAGATTAACATTTCTTCAAGAACATGTAAGGTTATTATGCTATGAGCGTACACTGACTCACTAACACGAACTTTTAGGTTCATCTGGACTACTGGGTATACCTTTGTGGCTGAGAGTCAAAATATAACCCAAAATAGGCAGGTTGATATGGATATTGTCATATTGTGTTACGGACAAGATATTAGGTGCTTCAAAGTCCAAACCAAGTTGAAAATATAATATCTAATGCTTTGTTCATTTCACCTAGATTCTTCTTTTATAGAGTAATTTATTGGTGCTAATATGAACTCATCTAAGCTTACAGCCTTACCTAACTTATCCCTTATCTAAACTGAAACTACTTTAATAAGGTGAAAAGAACAAATATCAACACTAGGAAGCAACTGAACATGTCCAAGATACAGAATTTTTGCTTGGGGAGCATAATACCAGAGTTCTTGTTAGGAAAGCAATACATACCATAGTTATAGCTGTGCTGATCAAAGATATCTCAAATAAATGTATACATACTTTCAGAATTAAAATATCAGCATTATACTGCCTTTGACCAAGCACTAAATTAATCATGATTCAGGAATTATTCTAAAACATCCAATACTTCAGCCAAGGTTTTGCAAGTTCATGAATTTTGTCTTGCACTTTGATTTTATAGTTGCTTTCAAACAGTAACTTCAAATTTAATGATCACGTGCATTTATGTCCATTTTTCAGAGTGAAAGTACAATGATGCACTAATGCAATGACCTCCATAAGAGCACAATACCAATTTTATTTAGCAAATTTGAAAATTTCCAAGGCATGGGAATTTTGAAGGTAACAAACCTTGCAAACCCCAGTGATAATGACCTCATCTCCATCTTCTAGGAATGTCCTAGATGTTCCATTCAAAGAGAGTGGCTTTTGTCCATTCCATGTTTTCTCCAACAAACACCCAACAGAATCAGGTTCCTGTCAGCAAATCAAACAGGATCAAAATCTCCCAACAATTTAGCACAACTACCAACAATAAATTCAATTTCCGGAAAGCTGTATATGAGCCATAACAAACACTTACAGGACCACTGATTGTACCAGTCCCAAGGAGATCACCAGGCCTTAGATTGCAACCATTAATTGTATGATGAGCAAGCTGCTGCGTCACTGTCCAGTACCTAAACCCCAAAAGAGAAAATAAGTTGCACAAACAAGATGGTTAAATCATCAAATGACAATTAGTATTGGATAACATCATAAATACTAGTAAGAACAAAAAAAAAATGAGGCTACACTCTACAGTTTGTACAGTAACAGGAAAAATAGGGAAACAGCAGTAGATTTCCCCCTACCATCCACAGCAAAACTTAGTAACAGATAAATGGCATAATTTGCAATTTTAAGATACTTTCCTCCTCTGTATTTGTAATTATCAGCTTACCAATTAGTATCAAATTAAAAATAATGGTGTCACCTTTATAAGTTTTATCCACTACAAGTCTACAATCATACCAAATATATACTACTTACCAAATGAGAGCCACAAACAGAAGAAAGGACAAAGAATGGATGTGAGATGCTTACAAATGGTTAAAATTACTCTTTGCTACTACACAAGGCTCCTGTCCAGCAGGTTTGAGTTGAACCTAGCAACCAAAAAATATCAATCTTTTATAAATAAATAAATAAAGCTAGAACTCAATACTAAATTTTTAGCAGACCAGACAACATAAGGATGTTGGATACTGCAGAACTAACCTAGAAATCAGGAATGGATCAATGTCAGAATTGAAAATTTATAAACAGAGCTACATAATACCTCCAATTGTATATCATAGTTTTTCGATGTCTTCTCAGCCAAATATGGCAATGGGGGAGGGTCCTACAGTTACACAGCAGTACCAAATCAGTGTACTCATCATCAACATGTATATTTGGTAAAAGTTCAATTTGAAGACAAGAAAGCGCATAAGTTGAAATGACAAATTTCAATTTTGTATATAAATTTTTCTCAGGTCTTCACTTTTTGATACAAATCAAAATCACCTAAAGGCCAGATAACTAACACATCAAATACCTGTTCTGGGACACCACATGCAAAAGGTTCAAGAGCATCTAGGGTCACAATCCATGGAGAAATAGTTGTACCTAAACAAAGAAATATGTTTCATTACTTCATAAACTCCAAATATGTTAAGTCAAATTAACTACATATTGAGGAAAAAAAACACACCAAAACTCTTCCCCAGGAAAGGTCCAAGAGGTACATATTCCCAACCTTGAATATCTCTAGCTGTGGAAAACATTTTCGTATATGACTAAACAATGTTTTTTGACAGAAAGAAGAAATCCAGACTGAAAAATAAAGTTAAGCAATATATCTACCACTCCAGTCATTCATCAGAACAAGCCCAAAGATATGATCAGAAGCATTATTAACGTCAATAGGCTTCCCCAATTCGTTTCCTGGACCAACTACTGCAGCCTGCAGTATCACAAGATTCCACATAGGCCGAGTATTGATTAGCACTATGTACATATATCAAAAAACATGGCCACTTCCACAACCAAAAGAGGAGTATCTTAGTAAAACTGATTCCACTGTTTATGGTCTCTTAACTCTGAAAATATTATGCTTGTATAAATAAAAGTAGAGAAGAGAGCTACAGCTTATACCATTTCTAGCTCAAAATCCAACTTCCGTGAGGGCCCAAAGTAAGGAGATGGCGAGTTAGGAGTTGGAGGTCCCTGCCCTCTGATAAGAAAAACAGAATGATGAATTTGATAAATTAATAGAATAGAAAATTTTATGACTTATCATATAGATACTTCTAGAGGTGTGTAAGAGAAGAAGAGCTCAATCAATAAATGCTGCTAGCTTTTGATGGGATGTTGCATACCAACATGGTATAAATGAACAATGAACCAACAATATATAAGTATCACATTTCTTTTCATTTTTTTGGAGGCAAAGTATAACTGTATATCAAATTTTCATGGGCATACAAATTATGTTTAATAATTTTTTGCTGCAGTGAAATATATTGCTTCTGCAATTGGAAAAGAAAATGAGAAGTAAAATGATCAGAAATACAACTAGAAATCAGACCTTGGTCTCACTATATCAGTTCCGGAGATGACAACAGAAGATGCACGCCCATGATAAGCAATAGGAATATAGTACCTACCCAATTTTCAATCAATATCATTGAGCAACATATTCAGCTTAACAACAGCATTTCTTTAGGAATATCACTCATGTCATACCAGTTCAAATTAATGGCATTCTCTGGGCCACGGAATATGAGCCCACAATTCTTTGCATGATGCTTGGATGAGAAGAAGTCAGTGTAATCTCCAATGGTCATAGGTACAAGCATCTCCACCTTGCTCTAAACAAGGAGGTTATAAATATTTAGAACAGTTATACACCACATAAAATAGTCTAGCTTAAAATTGCCATGTCACAGGAGTAGTTTACCATAGGAATAAGTGCTTCCTGCCTCAAACTTGCATTGTCACGCAATGTTGGCTCACTTTCTGTAGCCAAAAATATAAAGCAATAGGTCAAAATTTTCCCAGCCTAATCTTGCAGGTTGAAATCTTGGAATTCCAACAAAGCTTATGTCCTTTTAATTGAGAAAGTTAGATTTTATATGGATCGAGCAACTAGGTAGATGAAACAAGGAGATCCCGCATACCTGATAGTAGCTTCTGAATGGTTGCACGTGCCTCCTTCCACGCAGGTCGTCCCATTGCCATAAATTTATTGAGTGTAGGCTATATTCATAACAAAGAAGCTATTATAAGCAGTTTGCAATAATATAGAAGACATAGCTAAAACCAAAAATGTTTGACAGCATTGGAAGAAAGAAAATGATGTAGTATTTGCATGTCATAATTAGACATGATTTTCAATTTTTCAAACATCATTGAGATGTAGCGCGCAAATTATCAACAGGGTTGCTTAATAGTTCAGAAATATCATTATTTAAAAACAAATTACTATAAATTCATGCATCTCGAAGAAAAACAGTTTTCAAGCAGCTCGAGTTCTGCATATCACATGATTCAATATTTCCATTAATAAATTGTTAATCAGCACCTCTTTTCATTTTCCCACCAAAGAAATTTAAACTAATCATCTATCTATTGGTCAGAATTCACCTTAATTAGAGACTACTATGTACTGTACTAAAATTTCAACACAAAACATTGCACTTAAATAAATAAATTGCTTGATAAAGTCGAGTAAATCATCCTTAACCCAATGCTAAACTAAGAAAATAAATTTTCAGCACAAATTCAAGAACTACACCCAAACATAAAACATGCATACAAAATAGTAAATCCAGATGTATCATTTCCTGATAACCAATTTAGACTTATGGCAAAAACTACTGTACTCCGAATGTATCATACAATATACATTAGGCTCCGTCACCCCAAATCAAATAAAGTCAACTTTGCGATGTGATGACTCTCAAATTGAAGTGACCAAGTATGCTAGTATGTACAAATTACAATACACCTGTTGTATCCAATGACCTAAAGTTTTGATCATAATCTCATAACACTTCATCACCCCAAATCACATAAAATCAACTTCATTTACATAATCTGAAGCTACATTTACATTACCGTGTGTCCAAATTACTATACACCTGTCGTATACAAGACCTACAATTTTGACAATCTAAAATCACAGCACAATTTCAACAAATTAACGGCACATAAATAAAATCTAACACAAAAATCCACACAAATATAAACAAATTAAAACATACAACAAACAAAATCCAACAACAACAACATCAAAATCGCATGACTAAATTTTGACAATTTTGACCAAAATTACAATCGTTGAAGAATTGAAAAACAAAAGAAGACCTGATTGAAGCAGTCGGAACCATTGAGAAGTGGACCGGAGAATAAACCGGCGGAAGAGATTTCAGAGAGGTCAAGGACGAAGTCGCCGATGGCAACGCCGGGTCGAGGAGGTGAAGCGGGTTCGGGCTTGAAAACACCGTAAGGAAGGTTCTGGATAGGGAAGTCGGATTCCGGTGAGACATCGATGAAGGATTTCGCCGCCATTTTTTCCGGCGAAGTAGAGAGAGAAAGAGAGAGTGAGGTTGGTGGAGGAGAGAGAGTGAAGAAGGTGTCGTAAGAATGGTACCTAACTCGGAATTTAATGTTGTAACTTGTAAGCAGGAGAAGGACTTGTAGGAGTATTACACGGCAACCAAATTTAACCGGCGGAATTGTTGACGAGTAGATTTTGAATTGTTAAATGCCACAATCAAATTACTCAAATGGTGGTATTAAATGACCTCAATACCCCCGTCGTTACTTACATTCACACAATTGTCAAAATTTGACCTCACATCACACTAAGGGTTTGTTCACATTTACTTAACTTAGTTGAACTAAACTAAACTAATTAGAGTTGAACTGAACTGAATTGAACTAAATTGAGCTAAAATGAATATTTTATGAGAGAAGAAAAATAGGAATTGAACTGAAATTAAGCTGAAGTGAACAAGCCCTTTAGGGTCTGTTCACGTTTACTGGACTAGAATGAACTGAACTAAATTGAGGGCCTGTTCTCTTACGTTGAAATTCAGTTCAGCTCAGTTCAGTTCAATTCAGTTCAGCTCCTAATTTCCTTCTCTTATAAAATATTCATTTCAGTTCAGTTCAGCTCCTAATTTCCTTCTCTTATAAAATATTCAGTTCAGTTCAGTTCAGCTCAGCTCAGTTTAGCTCAATTCAGCTGAGTTCAATCAATGAGAACAGGCCCTGAGTTGATTGGAGCTGAAGTGTACTTAATTGAACTGATTGGAGCTGAAGTTAACTGAATTGAGCTAAGGTGAAATGAATATTTTATGAGAGAGGGAAATTAGAAGCTAAACTAATTGGAGCTGAACTAAACTGAAATTAAGTAAATGTGAACAAGCCCCAAGTCACTAATCTTGAGTCCTTCGACCATCCATGGCATCACCATTGTAACTCCATCTTAAGGCACTTACATTATTTTTTTGCTAATTCTGAGCTCAATTCAGTTCCTTAAGACTTAAAATGACCCCTAAAACCTTTACTGAATATTTTTCGACACGTAAACTGATGAAAAAGTTAAATCAAAATGCAATTTACAATGTATTAGAACTTTTGAATTACAATTTACAATTTTTGTTAAATAACTGCAATTTATAGATTACTAACTTTAAATAGATGCAATTTACAAATTTTTTATTCTGGCAAGTAAAAATTTTTAAATGGACCTAGTTCACACTAATTTATTGTGGACCACTAACATTAGAGAAAGTATAGTTGTTTTATTAATAAAAAAAAGGGGTTACTATAATTAAAAAAGAGGTCACTATGTTGAAATAAAAATCATTTTGGTAATATATAGGCCTAAGTGGTTATTTTTGTAATGAAATATTTTATATACGGATCAATATGAATCATAAAGGCCCCTATATTAAAATTAAGATAATAGCGTCCTATTTCAAGTTTATAATATTATTAAACGTTGTATTAGTTTTAATAAAGGTTACTATGTTAAAAATAATAGTCACTATGTTCAATATAATGTCAGTTGCGTGTGTATAGACTTCGGGTCCACGCAAGTCTTTTTGTCTTGTAAGATGGGTTTAGCCCATAAACAAAAACTTCAGGTAGAATTCATGAAATCTTTGCCACCTTTATTGACGCTTTATACCCAACTCAGCCTACTTTCGCGGCAAAAGAATCTCTTAAACAAAAACTGACAAACCCTAATTCTTCGACTACAATCCCTAATTCTGAATAATCCTCTTCCAATTTCCAGAAATTCCTGCCACTAAACCTCAGCGATGTCGCACGATTTAATGCTGAATGCCCTGAGGCTAACATCTGGATCAAACAATTACGGTTAATCTTCTCTATCATTTTTATCCTCATTTGATTATCTTCTGTTGAATTGAATTAAATTAATTTGAATATTGAATGTTGAATTTTGTAGAAGAATTTCTGTTTATGTATTTGATCACTTTTCTTAATTGTTTATTAATATTTGGATTGAGGAAACAATGTTGTTGATAAATTCTTAGCTTTTTAGAGTAAAATTTATTGTAATTAGTTTATCAATAATTCTGAAGTGTTTCTGTGAGAGTGGATCAATTTGTCTACTTTGAAGTAGGGTGGTCAGGTTGATAAGTTGCTCTTTCCGGCTTGCTCAAATTTTGTATGAAAGTATGTGAATGGTGTGGGATGGGAGTTTGTTGATGTGTTGCTGCCCTGGAAAGAAATATCAAATATGTTTACGGCTTCTAGTTACCGCGATTTGTGCTCGTTTAGTGGATGCTAGATGAGCAAGTACAGTGAGAATGAGACTAATGGGAGGAGTAACTATTTTATTGCTATGTGTATTGAGGGAGAGCGTAATTGAGGATCTCGGTGTAAGGTATTGCGGAGTACAACTTTACAAGTAAAGTAGGGAAGGTGATCTGAAGTTCTAAACATCAAATTTGCTGAGTAGATGAATGTACTCTTCTATTTTATGCCCATATTTTGCCTGTTTTTTTTCCTTATTATTACTCTTTGGCCTTCGTCTCATCATGAACTATACATTTTGGTTAGAGATGAAGATTAAGAATGGTTGTTAAATGTATGGTTAAAGTGTCAAAAGATAACTTGTTTGGGAAAAGGGAAAAGATTGATGAGATGGAGAGAAAGATTGATGGGATGGAGTGATTGATGATATGGAGTATTAGATTGTTAAGTTTTTTCCTTATTATTACTCTTTGGCCTTTGTCTCACCATGAAGTTTATTTGGCTCTGTTAGTAAATTATGTTATCCCATTTATTTGGGATAATGTTTGGGATAACATAGAGTTCTTTTTCAACAAGATTAAATGGATTCCTGATTCTCAAGTTACTTTGTTAAGGCAGACTAACATGTTTGGAAGCATCAGTGGAATATAGCTTAGAACATGAAATGTTGCAACAATGCAACATACCCTCTTCTCAAATGTTTGTATAGTTTTGACTGTTTTTTCAAGGATTTTTGGGATTTTTTCCCCTTATTACGATATATGATAAAATGTTTACTAAATTAAGGACTGGTATGTATTTCCAGGGTCAGTTTGATACAATGTGAAATACGTTGTATGCAAAGAAATGAATTTCCTTAGCTGAATTAGGTTTAGGCTAGTGTATTTGAATACAACCTTTATCAGCTTTTTGGACAACTGCACACGTGCCTATTATTTTGGACCTAATCTGGGCAAATAACTGACCATTTGATTTACCTCCTCCACCCCCCCCCCCCCTCTCCTCCCTCTCTCTTTTCTATCTCTGTCACTCTGGTTTGAACAAGGGGTTGGTCAGTTGGGGAGGGGAAAGGGTCTACTATTGAAAGCTTGTAATCACTAATCATTGTGCTGTTTTGTATTGAAGTCCCTAGTTATATTATATTCTAATTTATCACCATAATTTCTTATTTTTCAGGACAAGAATGCTTGCTTACAAGCAAGTTGTTTGTGTCAATGTTAATCAGTGATAATGTGACCAAATTGGAGAAGTTGATTAATTTTTTGGGATCTGAAGTGGAAATTTAGCAAGATATTGGGCTGGATGGTGCTTCCTATTAATATTGAACTGAAATTGTGCAGTATAGTTTTCAGTTATTCATTGCTTAAAAGTGAATGAAATTTGAAGGGGGAGGAACAAATGAATCCATTATAATGTCATCTTAGTATGGTTTGCACCCCACTAAAAAGTGTAATGAAGCTATGTTACTCACTTACTCAGACTCTTGTGTCAGGCATTGCTATGTTTCAGACATTACTATTATATGAAAATGACCTACTTTTAGCTCAGAGTAAAGTGTGAAGTATTAATAAGGTCATGTAACATCTCTTAAGGCTGTATCGATACCTTCCTGCTCTTAGCAATTGTAGGTTATTCCGTTTTGGCTGTGGAAGGTAGTGTAATTGGGGTCCTTGAGGGTGATCTTTCAATTTTTTTGTTTATTTATTTTTAATATTTGAAGTGAATCTTCTCATTAGAAAGGCTTTTATGAAGGGGTGCAAAAGAAACACAACATTAACAAGTCATGCTTCTGACTGTTTTTTTGTGGAATCATCTAGGTGGTACATCTACTTCAGGCATTCCTGCTTCAGCTACAACACCATCGTCTATGGAGGCTAGTACATCTACTTCAGGCACGCTTGCTCAGGGCCCTAAAGATCTTAGAAGAGGAAATTGGAGCTATATTGTTGCAATATGGACCTGTAACCACTAGGGATCTTGTGGGTGCATTCAAAGAAAGATTAAAGACACAACAGGTACATATTAATGTATTATTTCCTTTTTACCTGAGACACATTGTTGGTTGCTTGATGTTATCATTGAATTGCAAGGATCTGAAGTATGGTTCTTGTAGAAATTTATGATGGTTTATTTTATCTTGAAATATTAGTAATTCCTCAAAATACACTTGTAACACATTAGTTTTATGATTGTTATCTCTTTCCTCCCTGAACAAAAGGTTGCCTCCCAAATTACTTTAGGTTAAATTTGTGTTCAGCAGTTTTATATGATCAATTATAATGTTTTTGTTGTTATCCAAAATGATATGGTTAAATTAAGATGTGAAACCCTGATGTCTTCCTATTTATTGCTTTCCCCTCATACTTTGTCGTAGCTGTTATGGCTGTATGCCCGTATACTTCCCTGGCTTACTTAAGTACGCCAAATGATTAAAAATGCTTTGTCTGATTCTGTTTCCTAAACCCATAATTAATTTTCTGCAGGATTTAATAGCATTTGCTTACATTTTGAAAAGGATCTCCAGGTTGCTGAAGATCGATAACAAGAATTATGTTGTGCTAAAGGAATGGGGCAATATAAGTATATAACCTGATTATTGTCTACTTTAATCCAGCCAAAAAAAAAAAAAAAAAAAAAAAGAGAGAGAGAGAGAGAGAGAGAGAGACACGCTATTGTTTAGATTTGTGAACAACTTTTTTCCATGGTATCAAGAGAAATGTAAAGATGTAGAATTCATATGCTGCCTAAACTCGTCATACAGATAATGTTTGATTAACATCAGTGTGAAAATATCGTCTACAACTTACAAGACTACAAGGGGATTGATTTTTTCCAGAGCACAGAAATCGAACGAACTCAGTTTAAAGAGTTTGCTGAGATTATCGGTTTCATAAAAGAGTGCAACCTAATGTTCTCAGGAGAAACTGTGGATATTGTTTTTTTGGGCGTGAATGGTGATCATCAACTTTCATATATAAACAATCATGTGAAGAGATAATCTGAACTATTGTACATTTTTTTTCAACAACTTTTTTCAGTTTTTTACCGCTAAGAGAGTTGCAAAGAATAAATGATACCTACGGTATGTGATACGGAGTATAAGGTCTCAACTCCAATCCCACATCTCAAGATGTTATGAGTAAGGTTCTCTTCTCTTCAGCTTATTTTTAGTTATGTTATGTTTAGTTCAGTTCCAATCAGACGATCAGTTCAATTAAGTTTCTAATTTCCTTCTCTCATAATATATTTAATTCAATTTAGTTCAACTGTAGTCCGTTCATTTCAACTCAATTCAGTAAATTAAAATAGCCTAAATGAGAGTATCTAAAGTGCTCTTTGTTGCATCTACAAGATAACAGTTGCAACAACTTCCACAAGTTCAAAACTCAGAATTCTCTCTCTCTCTCTCTTTTTTTTTTTTTTTTTTTTTTTTTTTCTTGACAAAACTCAGAATTCAACTTGTCACTACCACATGAAATAGAGAATAAGACTAATTTAGGCAACAATGCACCATAACAAATCACAATAATACTTTTTTTTTTTTTTTAATATTTAAGTTCAAACAAAAAGTAATAAGAAGTTAATAAAAATGATAATATACTTATATCCCCATATAATAGAAAATGATTGTAGCAATAATCATGAAAGTGGGCCCACAAATCTTAGTTGAAGAAGATGGAGCAGTGGGTTCTTGGGCCAAGACAGAATTCCATGATGATGTTGATGATTGAATCACAGCCGTTGATTTGGACTTGATCTCAACAGGAAGCTTTAACCCTTTTTTACAACTTTCAGAATTTGTACTTGCGAAGTAGCGGATCCCTTCCTCTTCTAGTGAGATTTTATCTAAGCCGTTGTCATAAATTTTGATTGGTTTGCTCAAATCACACGACTCAAATTCATCCTTGCTTTTTAACTCGACTATCTTGTCTTCGTCTAAGCCACTAGAGTAGGCAAACCCTGTGAATTAGCCACGTCAAAAAGGTTTTGCTAGATTAAATTAGGGACTGTAATTTCAAACGTGGTACACATATTATTGATACATACTTTAAACAAGATCATCTTACCATCATAAGACAACTTTATAAGTAGATTGTTCTAAAAATGATCAAATTAGACACAAATATTTCTCTAATCAGTAACGAAAAAGAAAGCAATTAGCATTTGATATGATATTTTAAAATTATTAGTCACGTAGTCTATAACTATTAGCTACCAATCTTGATAACATGTATCAACACATAATAGACATGAATTTAAATTCATATATGGCATACTTGTATAATTTACCAAGTTAGTATCTATGTACACAAATTGAGTCATGGGCAATTGGGCATCAACCCTAATAGGGCTAATATAGAAATAATTAGGCAATCACTCTCCCAATTGACAAAATCATGGGGTTTCTCAGTAACATCTCCAATATTCCAAAACTATTTGAAAAAAAAAAAAAAAAAAACTCTTTTTATTTTCACTAACCTCCTAAAAACCCCTAACAACTCAAGTTAATTGCACGAAATTGGTCTAGTAAAAATATCAAAACCAACTCTAAAACTTTGATAGAATATAAAAAACCAATCGAGTTTATGGTTAGAATCTCATAATCAGTTTTTTTATTCTATCAAAAATGATACAAACACGAGTTCAAGAAATAGAAATTGTAAAGACACAAAGATGAAGTAGTGTAAGAAAGCATACATAGGAAGTCCCCAACAACAAAACTCCGGCCAGCAGCCCACGAGGCGATATCGGAAGCGAGTTCCCAACCACGATCATCTCCGACGACGTGGTGAACTTGAGCCTCGGCCTTTTTGCCACCAAAAACAAACACAAACACCATCATCAACAACAATAACATGAACAAGTTTTTCTTTACGCAACCCATTTTTTGCACAATTTCACAAGTGGTAGAAATTAAAAATGCAACAAAAAGTGTAAAGGGAGTTTATAAACAGCAAAAAATAAGAGTGAATAAGAAGCCTAAATATTATTATTACAACTACCAGTACCCTTTTTATATTTTTCTCATAGCCTTACTACAACTACCAGTCTCTTTTTATCTATCTTTCAAACTCACTTTTCAGTTATTTAATTTGATTTATTTTAATTTTATTTGTAGTTTTTGTTTTATTTTGCTTGTTACGTACTTTCACTTTTGTACAAAGTAAAGGATGTTTCAAGGCAGTTTCCTAAGGGACCTATGTATTTGTCACAAGTATTTAAATTAGTGAGGTGTATTTCTTGCCTACTAAATTTAACATTATTAGGAAAATCTTGGAATTATTGATTAAAGAGACAAAATGAAAACCAATAGAAAAAAAAATGAAAGCTCCAAATAAATAGAGTTATACAGAGTATTGTATTGAATTATTGAAATACAATCAAAATGGTGTGATAACATTCTTTTTTTTTTAGGAAAAAACAAAAGATATTTAGTCCCGCTAGTTAAGTTTTGCCTCCTTTCTACTCAACTTATTCAAAATTTTAAATTACATAGTCGACGAGTATAAGATAGAGTTAAGCACAAATTTAGGTACTCAATTCTTCCTTTTTTCACCGTTTAGGTACTTAATTTTTTTTTACTTTGTTTTTGGGTACTGAGTTAAGAAATCCGGCCAAAAAAAATAAATCAGCCTAAGAATTCAGTACCTTTGGTTAAAGAATTCAATACCTTGGTTAAGAGAAAGTGGGCCCCACCCGATTAAAAAAATTTGCGGGTCACCCTTAATTTTTTTTTCCTTTCTTATTCTTTATTCCCCCTTTTTGCTCCCTTTATTCTTTCCTTCTCTGGAAATTCTGCTGCGTCATTGTCGAAGAACACGAGCAAGCTTGGGCTCGATTCTGGGGAAAACGACACCAAAAGCCGCCATTTTTTTGAGGTAAGCTCAATTACTCATGGATTATGTTGATATTTTGATATAAATTTTGAATTTTTTGCCCATTTCTTGATGTTATTTGTAAACTAGGGTTTTCGATTTTTTGGGGTTTTTTTTGAACAAATTGATGATGTCGATTTCTTGTGTTTTTATGTTAAATTTGTTGCTTTGTTGTTGTTTGTTGTTGGATTAAGCTAGCAGCAGCAGGGGAAGAACCTAGCAGCAGCTTCTGTTTCTGTTTTTTTTTTAAAAGATTTTTATTTCTAAAAAATCTGGGAAAACCTTGTTGAAGAATTTGTGCCTAAATAGACATGGTGAATGAACCTGTTTTGATGATATTTATTGATGGTGTACTGCTACAGCTTCTGCGTTGTTGTTTTTGGGTTTTTTTTTTTTTTTTTTTATTGAAATTGAATCAGGAAAAATCGTTTTGGATGAAGTTTGTTAAGAAAACATGGTGTGCTGCTAGTGTTTCACTGTTTTGCAGGTGTTTTCATGGCATTTTTTAGCCAAGTTCATGCCCCTTTAAATAGAGTAATAACGGCTAATTTATGAGTCAAAGTTAAGAATTTTTTTTTTAAATATTAATTTTTTAATTAGGTATGGTTAGTGATGAGTTAGTGGTGAGTTAGTTCACCTGAAAATCACTTTGGGTACCCAAAAGCAAAGCAAAAAAAATTGAGTACCTAAAAGGTGAAGAAAGGAAGAATTGAGTACCTAATTGTACTCTTAACTCGTATAAGATAAGTTGTTTATCACTTTTTTTTTTTAATTTTTTTTTTTAAAGAAAGATAAGTTTGTCGCACAACATATTACATATGATTGATAGGAATAATAAGTTAATTCTAGTTCAAATAAAAAAATTTCTAAGTGAAGTGGTTAATGGTTATATATTGATATATTAAATTGATAACGGAAGTTGTGAAAGAATAATATGAATGAATTAAGCATGAGCATATGAATAGGCAAAAAATATGGTATGGCAAGATCATATTCTAACCACTCAAAGTTACTTCATGTTAATACTAAAAAGTAATATTGTATCGATATTTAGGCCCTGTTTGGTTTGATGTAAAAGATTTTCATGGAAAATGAATTTTTTATTTTTTCCCATTTTCCTTTGTTTGGTTTGTTAAGGAGTGGAAAACAATTTTTCAAGGGTGGAAAATTCCATCCTTAATGATGGAAAACATTTTCTTTCCAAAAACAAGGGAAGCCACATTTTCCTCTCTCCTCCTTACCTCTTTTTTTACTTCCCTCTCATTCATCCTTACATTTCCACTCTTATTTTTTATTTTTCTTGGACTTTTCTTGTATGCAACCAAACAAAGGAAAACTAATTTGCAATTGTGTTTTTCCTTGAAAATATGTTTTCCATGAAAACTAATTTTCCATTGAAAATGTTTTACATTAAACCAAACGGGGCCTTAAAGTAAAATACTTACGGCTTGTTTTGTAGCAACTAGCAAGTAATTAAACGTGGTAATAGACTAATAGGAAAGAAATTTAAAGTGTAATTTAGAATGAACTACAACCTATAGGCTATAATCTCCGTATGAATCCAATCTCACCCCCCAAGGCCCCAAGCATGTATTTTTTTTAACATATTTTTCCATTAATCTTGGAAAGTTAGAAAGAAAATGGTCATTCAGATCATGGGAATAAACATAATTTTTCTTTTCATCATTACATATAAATTCTTTCACATTACCATTGTATATAATCGGTTATCAAACGAGACGTTACAGTTATATACTCCGTAATTCTCTATATTAAAATATACGGTTACATAAATAAGCAAAAAATTTTTTTTAAAAAGTTTTCTATTTTGAGGGTGAAATACTGAAATATACTATGTATATGCTCCCCTAATCCCAAGTTCCAAATAGACGAAATATTGCTTAGTCCTCGTGGCAAGCGTGTGCCCTTTAAATTTACTTTTTGGGTTGTTGGATTCTCGGGTAAATAAATGTACCATTTTTTTTGTTGGATTCTCAAGTAAATTTACCATTTTGTCTTTTATTTAAGATGGTCATTCGTATTGGGTTGATTTAGATCAGCTATCTTTTAGGAATTGGATTAGATAGCATTTGTTCATTCTTAGGATGGAAACAATTTTTTGAATAGAATCCAAGGCTATCCAAATGTAGGTTACATATAAGAGATTGGTGAGCACGAACCACCCCTAATATCATGACTGAAAGTTACTTGGAGCCTATTCACATTTACTGAACTGAGTAAAACTGAACTTAATTGAACTGAATATTTTGTGAGAGAAGGAAATTAGG